TGTTTGTATATAAAAGTATCGCATTCCAGATCCAGCAAGCTGAAAATTATACACAGAAAAGGCCGTATCTTATAGATCTCTGACTAGTTTGGCCACCTGCGATAATAGTATCGATTTATCAAAATCGGGATGTGTTAAAAGAATGAAAAGAACTCAGATTCTACCGAACTCGTGAGTCATCGCAGTGCCTTCGTTGTCAAGTGGTTAAACGTTCGCCATGTATGCGAAAGGGCCCGGGTTCGAGTCCTGGTGTAGGCTGAGGTTTTTTTTTTCTTCTTCATCAGATTCCTCTTCTGTTTGAAACGGTGTTCAGCGAGACCAACTTCGATAGTAATTCGGTTTGCTTTTTCTTATTATTCCCTTTCAGCACCGTTCTTAATTGTAATTTTTGTTTTGTTTTGTAAGGCTTGTTTTATAAGAGAAATAAATGAAATAAAATAAAATAATACACCACCTCATACGAAATATAAGTGAGATAATAATAATGCAAATATAAAGTTAAAAAAATTTAAAATATTACAATTATAGTAATAATGATAGCTGTAAAACAAACTGTGTTTTAGTAGCAAGAAATACAAACTTGAAATAAGCATTGATCTAATGTGTTTTCCACACTATCAGGTTTCATGTGTTAAGTATCTGAGATTTGCTCATGTTATGAGAATGATGATGTCATCACAACATTATATGGACACTTCACAGGTATTTGTCGCATAAAACGTTATAGCGTAGACAGAGCTCCACACAATAACAATGGTCATTATATAACAGAAAAAAATACTCAAAAAAAAATGAAAGCTTTTGTCCGCAATGACATTCGAATTAAGTCTCTTCGATTACGTTATTCGGATTTTAAATGCTTGGCTCCTCCAGTACCCTTCGCATGGAAGTTGGTCTGAATAGGGGACATGCATGTCCCCAGGGGCCAAGCCAAAATTACAAATTCTATATATGAAATAATGGCAAAATATGACAACAAAAATAATGAAATCAATAAAAAAAATCGTGTGGATACTCTACCAACGGAGCAATGCCATCTACCTGGTGTACTCTGCTGGATGCTTGCATTAGAACACATTTTTCCAAGACATTTAACAGGTAATTAATTGATGACGTAAATGACAATGCGCTAAGATGTTTTCGAAGTCATCTAAATGTGATAGTCAAGTCAAGCTTTATTTCTAACAATCTAAACATCAAAATCTATATACATAACAGTATTATAGAACTTAAACCAAACAAATTAATACAGCATATATAAAATATATTCGAAAATGTTTTGTGACGTTGTTGCTTTAATGTGAATATAAAACCAAACCAAACAAATTATATATATATAATTATATAAATATATATATATATATATATATATATATATATATATATGCAAATGGTTAAATAACAAATAACATTTAAGTACATCAGTTATCAAAACAAGAATTAATAATATTATTTACCTTGTAAATTCGCCGAAATTAGAATAAAAAATTGTAGAACCAAGTTGGTTGGGAAGCTCATTCTTGTATAAGTGCAGAGGAATCGTTCGTCGGCTGCGATGAGTAACTTGTATCATCAAGTGCTAAGACGCTCGAAAGCGTTATATATTTCAAGCAGGAAGATGACGACCAATACTAGAAACTGAATTGAAAACGACAGCTGTTATGTCACCATCATCGACGAGGTGAACAATCGCAATAAAATTGATATAAATCTTAATGCTTATATAACAACTAGCACAATTGGAGGGACTATCAGAATTAGCTTTGAGGATTTGTATTGGCTGATTACGAAGCAAGACTAACAACTCACCGAATAAATGATGTAAATTTTCTAATAAAATAATTTCAGGGAGTTTGCAAGAAAACCATTCATTTTCGGTGGTTTATATAATACAAACAACCCGTCTTAAAAAATGATGGTCCTATCAGGAGTTACTCCATAGATGCATGAATTTTCATTGGTTGAGAATATTCACGATATAGCGTTTCGAAAAGGATGTAAGGAGATAAAATAAAAGCCAGGTAAGCATTAAGCCGGTCACATACCGGTACTGCACCAACGGTCGACAATCCGCAGCATATTGCAACGCATTGCAACGAGAGATTTTTATTTCTCTGTTCTTTAAAAAAATGTATATGTATGTACAGCATTACCGCAAGACGACTTAGAGTTTATCTCTATCATATATATATATATATACATATATATATATATATATATATATAGCTTGATAAAGACTTATAGTCGAAAGTACTCGCTAACTCTG